TTCGCTAGGCGGCTCGAGTCGTGGCGTCCCGCTCACGCTGAGTCTCGTTCTCCTCCCCTGGGCAACCTCTCAAACCACTTCAGGAGCCCCTCGATCGTCGTATCCACCTCCTCCGTCTCCTTCGCTCTCCTCGCCCCCTCTTCGTCTTCTCCTTCTTCCTCGTCCTCGTCCTCTTCCTCTTCCTTCCTCTCCCCGTCCTCAAAGTTACCCTCCTGTGTGTCATCCTCTTCCCGGCGACGCCACTGCATACGCCCGGTTTCTCGTACATAACCCATGAGGGCCTTCACGCCCGTCGCGTCGCTGAGCAGATAAGCTCGATTTCGCCAATTTTTGCCCGCGGCCTTTCGGAGTGCGCGTCGCTCGGTCAGCCGCAACAACCAACCTTCCTCAGTGAATGCCACATCGTATACGCCCGTGGCATGGGCGCCCAGCGGACGCCCCACGCGAAGAATGTACGATATACAGTCGATATACGCGACGTCAGAGGAGCTGTCAACTCAAACGGTAAATCTTCATTCTGGATATTAGGGTGGAAGGCAGTCTGGCAGTCCCGCAGATGCGGTTGTCGTTCCGGTCATAATCTGGACAAATTTAGCGTACAATGCGCGGAGTGTCAATGCCGCACGATTGTTCGCTCGGATTGGTTAGAGTGGAAGGTCATACCACACTTGCCCTGGTACTCTAGTGCGAGCGTCGACGTTGGACATGACGAAAGTATGGCGGTCACGAAGGTTGAGAGAAGTATTAAGACGATGATTTTAGTGTAAAGGTATACGTATGTGCAACGAAGGGTAGAGGGTGTATGTACGGCGAACGAAGCTCGTAAGGTCTCACTATATGCGCAAAAGGTATCGTACAGCGCTCACGCGCGGGGTATCTGTATGCTTCTGTATCGACAAGTCTCCGTCCTGTATCTTCAATCCAATCCATCCATCCAGACCTAGTCTGTTTCTCCGAACCATCCAGACAGCGACTCCAGCATCAAAGCGGGACGGTGAGGCCTGTGACCTCTCCCGGCACCCCCGCCCTCCTCCTCAAGAACTCAACATACCGAACCAAGAACGCAACTTGTTCGGCCGTCTCCACGGCTTTCAAGCTCCTCCGCCTCCTCACGACTCCGATAGCCTGCTCAACGACCCTCATAGTTGTCATGTCCACCCGTAATGTCTTTTTCATTCTTCCACTCGGACTCGGCGTGCGCGAGAGTGGAACGAGCGAGTGCGAGGGGGACGTCGGGATGTGGGGTGGCAGTGGCCCACAGAGGCCGAGTCGGATAGCCCAGCAACACGCGATGAGCCCCGCGCGTCCGACGCCGCCGCGACAATGTACAAGTACAGCAGCGCCTCGCAACGTCCACCCATCAAGCACCTTCTCTAAATCCCGATCGAAAGCTCGGAAGGCCTTCTCCTCGTCGGCACTCAAGTCTCCGTGTCCTACAGCAATAGGCGCGAGACCCTCTGGCACGGGTATACGCAGGACACTGATACCGAGTTTGGACGCTTCGGCAGAGTACTCGTCCCATGGTGCACCCAGAAAAGCGAGTTCGGTGTCATCGAGACAGTTGATGATGAGGGTTGCACCGAGGGCGCGAGCGCGAGCTAGGTCAGCCGAAAGACAACGGGAGACCGGAGCTCGGCCGCGAGTTGGGCCTGTCAAACGAACTGACGGGACGATGAGTTTATTACGAAGACTTTCATAGAGTGTGATATATACCTTTCTTGCCAGGGCATGAGGAAAGCAAGAGGTTGCCTAACATGGGTGGAGCCGCGGGCACCGGCGGCGGCGCTGGTGCGGGTGTCGGAAGACGCAGCGCGGGCTTTGGCCTCGGACGAATGGGGTTCGCACGATTATACATCGCGACATCCCACTGCGCTTTTCTGCGAGCACATATATTCAGCCTCGAAGGAATGAGTGAAGATTGAGCATACGTACAAGGACATCGATTGCACGTTGAAGACCGGCGCGCTAAGTGTACGGTCGTGGCCGTGCACACGTCCACCGCGCGCACCGAGTACAGCGGCGAGAAGGTCGACGTCGGGGAGCGCAAGAGGCGGAAGTAGAGGTGCGGGTGGCTCTGCTTCCGCACGAGGAGCACCCAGACCCATGCCGACGTCGACGTCCATAGCCGTGCGCTCAACTTGCTCTTCTGTCTCTTCGGGAACGGTGGTACCGAAGAGCAGGGATGACGGTGCAGGGAGCGTGGGAACCTGAGAGGACGGAGATTTGCGGAGCGAAGTCGACAAGGCGCTATTGAGCGCTGTGCCGAGAGCCGCACGAGTCCACAGCTGCAACGCTGGACGAGGTGCACATCCCGCCGTTGGACTCGCAGGCTCCTCAGTGGGCGTAATCATGGCCGATTGAACCTGCGTTTGGACCTGAGACTGCTGAGCGAGAGCGAAGTGGACTGTATTCGGCGACGGTGGAGGCGCAGAAAGGCGGTCGAGTGCGAAGGCTGGGTGAACAGCGAAGATGGTCGGAGTCTGAGCCGGCGCGGGTGAGAGATGTAAGGACAGTGTGACGATGAGCTCTGGCGGGATGAGCGGCGATACGTTCAAAGGATGCGTTGCGCTCGTTTTGAGGTCTGCCGGAACCTGAACTTCCAGCATCTGCGATGGAACGTGTTGGGGAGGTGCAGGTTCCAGCGGTGTCGAGATAGCGCTGAGGACATCATCCGCGAGGTTGGGAGATGCACGGGTCATTCGAACCGGTGCGGGGGCGTAAGAAGATGGAGGTGGTGTGGGCGGCGGCGAGGGTAGCGACGGTGCCGGTGGGGCGATATGCCATGGCGTATAGGTGAATGCGGCCTGGCGCGCGACGAGCTCAGCGTATGCTGCGGGCTGTTGAACCGAGAGTGGAATATAGGCTACGGGAGAACCTGTCGGTAAAGTCGTGGGTTAGTTTCCATTGTTCGGCCGTGTATGGAAGGCGCGTTCTGGAAGGCATGGGCTCGATTGGGAAGAAGCTCGGACAACGGGCGCTTTCGCGGAGTGAAGCGCCCATACTGCTCGCACTCGGTGCGCAGCACAGAGGATTGCGAAACACATTTCCTCGCACGAGAATCCGCTTTAGGGTGGGCGAACGTGAATCAGACAGCACGTTCAACAGCGGCGACCACAGCGTGCGACGATGGCGAGGTTCGTGTGTGAGCATACACCGGTTCTGGGACCGAAGGCTGGCCCACGAGCCATTTGGTGGGATGTTTGCCTCCGTCAGATGGGGTCGTCCGAAGGAGGAAGTGCGACGTGATGCTTCTGTACGGGGTTCGAAGTGGGGTACCACTTGCCTCTGGGACCGAATTTGGCTTGGGCGTAATGACTAGCATGGTGCTGGGACGCGTACTGCGCCAGCTGTATCATTGTTAGTGACCTGATTAAAGTAAATGGAAAGCAAGTAGCTACCTGAGCGGGAAGGGGGTGCATGATGTTTGGGAAAGAGAGGGCCAGCTTCGCGACGCGTCTGTGTGATTCTTGCAACGGTCCACGACTTGCCTCTCTCTCTGGTTTCTGCTGCTTCCCTGCCTCCAGCCTGGCGTCCGCTCCCTGAATTTCCCGTCTCCCGATTATGGCTCTGCGCTTTAACAGCTCGGACGTGCCCTTGGCGACGGCCTCGGCACCGCAGGCGTCGCGTGGCGCGACGGTGCGCCGTGCAAAGACGTTGACAAAGCCGGAGCGCGGCCAGGCGCCGCCCCCGCTCATCAACCCGTCCAACAATTTATTGCTCCCAGTGCCCAATGCCGCACCGCAGCCAGACAAGGCCTCATACTCAAACAGCCCATGGCGAATATTCTCAAAGATTATCACTTTCTGGGCGCCGTCGTCGGTCCTGCGCAGCGTCGCCGGCCTCAGCGACGCGAACATGATCCAGGCCTGGCGGGAGAAGATGGCACTGTGTTTTATTATTCTGTGCATGTGCGCCGTCATCGGATTCGCGACGGTCGGGCTGCAGCAGGTGTTCTGCCCGGCGACGACCACGCAGACGACGTCGTCCATCATTTCTCTCGGCTCCACCCAATCACAGGCCACGCTCGCAGTGCGCGGAGTACTCTACAATATTTCTGCTTCAAAGCCGACCGATTCCGTCAACTTCTACACCCTCGCAGCCCAGATGCCTGGCATGGACATCACCCCGTACTTCACCCGCACGGCCTCGGACTTTTCCGCCTGCACTGGCCTGTCTTTCGCCGCGGCGACGGACAACCCTTGTCCCAGCACAACGACGTGCCCGCTCCCGTCTTTGACCGCATCGAGCACCTACACCACCCTCGGGCTCCAGAACATGTCCGCGCCCGTCGGATACGGTTGGGATGACATCCAGAACGTGACCAACTTCATGGTCCTCGACGGCGCGGTGCTCAACATGCAACCCTACATCTCCCTCCACGCCTCCAATGTGTCCGGAGATGCCGTCGACACGGCCATTCGCACCGTCCTCGCGATGGACCCTGTCGGCGGTCGCGACGCCACTCGCATGTTCTCCAATACTGCCGAGCTCAAAGCAGCCATGCCGTGCTTGCAGCAACGATACATCGCCGGCCACATCGACAAGATCACAGCAGGATGCTTCGTCAGCAACCTGGTGTTGTACGCCGGCCTGATCGTCATCCTAGGGCTCGTCCTGCTCCGCTTCGTCATGGCCTGTATCTTCGCCTGGTTCCTCTCCCACCGTCTCGCTGGCAACCCGGATAAAGCGGCATTGAATCGCGCGGCGATCAGTCCTGCGGTCATGCCGGGAGGCGCAAACGTCAGCATCGACAACAAGACGGGCACGGCGCCCTGGACCCAACCGGGAAAGCTTACCAAGAAGCAAAAGGGCGGAGGAGGTCAATTGACGCCCAGCGCGAGCAGTTCCACGCTCAACGAAGGCGCAGCACCTATCCTCTCGCTGGCCCAGATCGGGGCCGAGCTGTTCGCCGTCTGCTTGGTTACGTGCTATTCGGAAGGCGAAGATTCGCTGCGGACAACGCTTGACAGCATTTCACGGACGGATTATAGCGACGCGCGCAAGTTGTTGTTCATCGTGGCCGACGGCATGATCACGGGTGCGGGAGAGAAGAGATCGACGCCGGATATCTGTGTCAGTCTGCTAGAGGCCGACCCGAGGTTTGGGAACCCAGTACCGATGAGCTACATCGCAGTCGGGAGTGGTACGAAAGCGGAGAATCGGGCGATGGTGTACGCGGGGCATTACAGTGCGTGTCTCTTTCCTCCTGCTGGTCCTATATATCAAAGCATCCGCCTCGCGGTGTACGAGCGCCCACATCATCGGGCTCTGTACCGATCACCGCATCTCATGTCTTCCATAACTGCGTCCGTGTGGATCGTCGGGCTGACTTGACCGATCTTTATCTTCTGTAGCTGTGGCGGGACGCAGGACTCCGGCGGTCGTAGTCGTCAAGTGTGGCACTGAGCGCGAGGCAGCTACTGAGAAGAAGCCGGGTAATCGTGGTAAACGCGACTCGCAGCTCATTCTCATGAACTTCTTCTCGTATGTGAACTTTCCTCTTGCTGCCCTGGTGGATGATAGACTGACGAACGGCGTAGACGTGTCACATACAACGACCGGATGAGCCCTCTCGACTTCGACCTGTTCAGGAAGATCAATGTGCTTATGGGCGTTACGCCCGATTTCTTTGAGGTCTGCCTCATGGTGAGTACACTTTCGTACCGCAGTCTTTATATCAGGTCGCGCCAAGCCGGCAGCCGAGAGAGTCGGTGAAGTGATCTCCGGGCGGGACGGGATGACCATGTCCGGCCTCCGAGAGCGCTTCCGAGCGAGGGCAGGGATCTCCGTCTTCCTGCAGAGAGAAGAGATCTCCTCGCCGCGCAGCAACGGGCAGATTTGCCGATGACGATGTGTATGTGTGGACATGGGCGCTAACGGTGCTTCGTAGGTGGACGCCGATACGAAGGTCTTCCCTGGAAGCTTGAAGGCTCTCGTCAACTGCATGTTCCATGATCCGCTCATTATGGGATGTTGTGGCGAAACGAGGATAGCAAATAAGCGGCAAAGTTGGGTCACTGCGATCCAGGTACGTTCCCCTGGCCTCATGTACTTCTATTCGTCACATTTACTGACTGATGCGGCTCAGGTCTTCGAGTACTTCATCTCGCATCACAACGCAAAGGCATTCGAGAGCGTGTTTGGCGGTGTCACCTGTTTACCCGGCTGTTTCTCGATGTTCCGTCTCAAGGCACGCAAGAGTACGGGCGACGACTGGGTACCGCTCATCACCAAACCCGAGATTGTCAAGGAGTACTCGCAGTCCGAGGTCGTGACCCTCCACGAGAAGAACCTGCTCTTACTTGGCGAGGATCGTTTCCTGACCACCCTCATGCTTCGCACGTTCCCGAACAGGAAGATGATGTTCCTCCCCCAAGCCAGGTGTCGCACCGTCGTGCCGGACACGTTCGGCGTCTTGCTTTCCCAACGACGTCGCTGGATCAACTCGACAGTACACAATCTCATGGAGCTCGTCCTCGTCCGCGACCTGTGCGGTACATTCTGCTTCAGCATGCAGTTCATGGTCTTCATGGACCTCCTCGGAACGGTAGTCTTGCCCATCGCCATCGTCCTCACGTACATCCTTGTCATCAAGTCCGCGCTGAACCCACCGCACAACTTCAGCGAGGCTATTCCGCTCATCCTCCTCGTGGCTGTGTTGGGTCTCCCGGCCATCCTGATCATGTTGACAACGAGGAAGATGGTGTATGTCGCTTGGATGTTCATCTACCTCCTGGCGTTGCCGGTGTGGAACTTGATCTTACCTGTGTATGCGTTCTGGCACTTCGACGACTTCTCATGGGGAGAGACAAGGTGAGCCTCTTTATTTACCCCTCCTCACAACGATGATGCTGACTATTTGTGTAGAAAAGTCGAGGGCGAGGCCAAGGATACGGGACATGGCGAAGGAAAGGGCACGAGCGCAGCTGCCGCTGTACCTTTACGGAGATGGGAAGATTGGGAGCGCTCGCGCTTACGCAAGCAGAAACGTGAAGAGCGGCGCCGACGTGAGTTCGCACGTCAACACGGTGCCTTCACGACGGGCAATGGCGACCATCTCGCGCCCAACGGCTACACCGAGAGTACCTACGAGGGATCAGACAGGGCTAGCGTCGCGAGCTCGGATGATCAATGGGGCGACAATGTCGGCAACTACGATGAGCGTGGGTCCCAGTACCCACCTCCCCCACCTGGACTGCATGCACTGGCGCACGGCAACCATCCTTACGGTGCAGGCAAGACCATTGACGCGAACGACCTTGAGGCGATGTTGGACGCCGGATGGGATGATCAACCCAGTCCGGGTGCCAGTACAGATGCATTACATGCGGCGCCAACGCATCAAGTGCCGCCTACCCCTGATAGTGCGACTACGCCGAGAGGGAGGGGCGGCCCTGGCGGAATGACGAGCGCGCTAGAGGAGCCCGGATGGAGGGGGCATGCGAAGAAGAGGAGTGGAGGTGGGACAAGGGATTATGGGCCGTTGGGGCCGCTTGACCCGGGGAGCAAGTTCTAGCCCCGGCGTTACAGGCTACTTGACTCGCTCCTTCTCTCTTCCCACGGACTATCCGTACGATATACCGCTCCTATAATGGCCCGCCTCATGGACCGTACCAATGTCAAATGTCTACTTCACGCACGCACGCACATAACCATACCCCTCACACCCCGTCCTCGCACCCCACCTAGACTTTCTGCCTTCCGCGCCGACCACCATTCGCCTGGACCTGGACATGGATCTCGTCTTGTGCATAGCCCAACACCGAAGTGGCATACATACCTCACTATACGCTTTACAACTTGTCGGCTCGCTCTTGTTTCTTCCCGCTGTTGTCTGTCTTCGTTTTTGAATCGACTACATACTCACACTCGCTCGCGCTAGCTGAAACTCCTGTTCGCGTTCCCTTGTCAGTGTTTGTTCACTCCCTACCCCCCATTGCACACCCTCTTATCCTGCGCTTGCGCTCGTCGCTCACTCGCCCACACCCGCACCCCTTTTCGCTGACTCCTTGGCGGAGCCGTGCTTCGTTGTTTGTCCGCTTCTTTCTGTCTGCTTTCTTTGGTTTCGGCTCCTGGCGCGCGGGATGTGAAAATGGAATAGAATACAGGACTCATGATTATTGCAGCGTGTGAAGTGGGAGCTATGTTCATACTGAGAGTGCGCTACTTACAGTAGCGAGCCCGATGCAGACCGAAACCGGGAGAAGCCGCGGGCGCACTTCCGAAGAATTCTGAGCTTCAAACTTCAAGTGCATCTTCCTCCCACCACCACCATGACGAATGATGCAAGATGAGCGCTCTGGGCGCCTCGATACACTTCCACAAGGATGCTCGCAGATTGCTTCAAAGCACTCGCTGCGTGTTGAGTATACGGTGAAAGCCCGTTGGCGATGCTCGACCTTCAACGGTAGGATATCGCTGTCGCCATCTGCCATTGTTTCCTAGGTCGTGGCTGAAGCCTTGATATTACTTACACCTTACCTCGTCCACGATCAGCGTTTAGCACCGGGCCCAGTGGGCCAAGCAGTGGGCAGCATTCTTCATTCGGATTCGCGTTCCGTGGCACTGCCATCGCCCTGCGGGGTGCATATATCGATGATCTTTCGTCTCAATGGAGATATCAAACACTCCCGCCATGCAATCCGGCAGGTATAGCCAGAGTGAACTCACGTCCTACGATAAGCATGAGACCAGTTTCTGCATAAAAGGGGCGAGTCCCATTTCCCCCAGCTTACACCACCAGTATGGGCGCTGTTGATCCCTCTTATCCATTGTACCCTATAGCCTCATTAGTGTCAGCTGCGCTACTGCTCCTCGTTCTTCTCACTAGCTTTATTCGACAGAGCTGGAACCTCGGGGTCGCCTTTCTGTGCTTCTGGCTATTTCTCCAGAACTTGACTAGTGGCATCAGTGCGATCCTCTGGTCTAACAATGCGGACGTCAAACACTACATCTATTGTGACATCGGTGAGTGCCATCATTCGGAGTCGAATGCATCTAATCGTCATGCCAGTATCGCATCTGGACGTCATATGTTCCATTGTCAAGCCTATGTCGACGTTCATCATCACACGTCGACTGTACTTGATCACCGACCTTCGATCTGTAGAGCTCCCTAGTCCTGCCGCAGTACGTCTCAACAGACATTCCTGTACACTCCTGGTGACTGATGGACTCAGAGACGCTGGAATATGATCTGTGAATGGACGATGGGTCTCATCGTACCCCTGGTGTTTGCAGGGCCCATATGTGAGTCAAACCAGTCACCGCTCAGAAATTGGGACACTCACGACCAAGCTAGATTACATCGTTCAAGCTGCGAGGTTTGGGGTGTACGAGGGATTCAAGTGCTCGAGCGCCCTATCAGACTCGGTGTTGACTCTACTGCTATTCGAATTGTGGAGCATCGTCCTACCTTTGGTATCACTGGTCACATACTACCGTGAGCACCTTACGCACTCTCTCTTCGGATGTACATGGCGGTTGATAAGGGCATTCAGCGCGTGTGGCTTTGGTATTCTATAGTCAAGGCAAACTCGCCAATCGTTTCTTGCGCAGCAATGGGTCGATATCGCGTCTCAACTACTTTCGCATCCTTGCGCTCGCGAGTATCGACATTCTCGTTACCTTACCTCTAGGCATCACGACTCTTGTCCTCGCAGTTTTGGTATTCCGCGAGTTTGACGTGCCTTTCTACCTTGGGTGGGACTTCGTTCACAGCGACTTCGAGCCGTTTAGCCTCACGTATGCTCGTATGAAGGCTGCCGGCGCTGGGAGCTTAGCACAACGATACTGTCAAGTGTGGACGTCACCCATTCTTGCCTTCGTTACCTTTGGGCTGTTTGGACTCACGTCAGAGGCTTGTGCTATGTACGGACAACCGTTCAAAGCATTGGGAGCGCGGCTTGGATGGGGGTCGCCCTCACGCAGCGATGTCTCCGGAACAATTGGATCAATGAAGTTTGGTACGAATCCCGGAGAAAGCACCGAGGACTCGGAATTACAGCTGAGGTGAACATTTATATCTCAGCCATGAGCCAAGACTGACATGTCCCTCATAGCACACCTAGACTATACGTGGACCTGGGCGCGCCAACGGCAGGTGGGACTTCAGAGAACAAATCTGAACATGCGAGCGAATTCCCATCGGCGGGATGCAAGGATGTCGATACATAAGAAGGCAACTCTTGCTTACCGTAAGACTTCATGGTGGCTGCCGATAAACCTCGACGAGTACTACTCGCGTATACTTCTACCAGTAACAGTATGACATCACCGCGCTGGTACCGTACTTGTATCACATGTATATCACTTCCCATACATGCCAGGTTCAGCGCCATCGACTCAATATCATTATACGTATCTGTATAGAAAAGACGTGACGCGTTAGATCGGCCCCCTCGTGCATGCCGCCAGGGATTAGGCGTCGATCCTTTCCCGTCGTAGAATAGAATCATGGCTCGTGAGAATGTTCCGGGGAGTGTAAGCTTACATGTGGCAGACGGGTGGTCTGCGATAGTAGGGATTGGGGTCCGGTCCGGTAGACCGCGCGCGTGGGTGACGCGTCGCGTCAACCATTGGCGCGTTTTATCACTTGACCGCGTCCTCCATCGCCGCCGCTGCTTCTCAGCGTGCTTGTACTATATTCACCTCAAACGACTTCATACACAAGTGTACACTAATTCCGAAGTCATTGGACGACATCTTCATTTCTCTCGCGATCTTGTGCCCGATTCGAACACCTGCTGGGATTCCCGCGTTACTCTGAAGCTGAACGCGCTACTATGTCGACTGCATTCGTCAAGGGAAAATTAAAGCTTGCGCGCGATGCTCTACAGAGGAAAGACTACGAGGCCGCACGTGATGCTGCCTCTGCCGTACTCGAGTACGAAGGTGCCAACTATAACGCGTGCGCCCCGTCTCTCGCCATGCCAGCCTGCATCAGTTGGTCTCAAGGCCGATCGCACGCAGAAAAGTATTCCTCGGTCTTGCTCAGTCAGAGCTCGGAGATGTCGCTGGAAGTGAAGCAGTGAGTCAGTGTCATATCGTGCAGTCGTCTGGACCGAGTTGACGGCAGTGATAGACGTATAAGGAAGCTATCGCTTTGAACGGAGCGCAACCGCTCGCACATCAGGTACGTCATTCCTGCTGCAGCCCCCTCTCTGGTACTGATGATATTATGTCAGGGATTGGCAAAAGTATATGAGAAAGCCAAGAAATGGGAAGAATACGCCTTGGCGCTCGAGGCTCTTGCAAGACTATTCCATGACGCGTTCGTGCACCGCGTCGGATCGTTGTCTCACACAGCTAATGGATATGTGTAGCGGAGACGCGACGAAATGCGCGGAAAATGTGCAGAAGCTCGTTGAAGTCCGGCGTACACACGGCACAGCCACTCAGCTCGCCGATGCGCTTGCGCTGTATCTGCCGCCCTCTCCCTTCTACTCTGTGCTCTCCACTCTACCAACACCGGACCATACTGCTCCCACTTCGACCACAACCTATACAGCTCAATGTGCTGTGTACTCCACGCTTCCTGTACTTGAAGAGATCACGAGTATCTATGAACGCGAAGAGGAAACACTCGTCAAGAGGGAGATCGAGAGTCGGCGAAAGCGACTCGGTGCAAAGGGCCCGGAGGAGATCAAGCGCGAGGTTGGCAGGGAAGTTTATGGAACTTCTAAGGCGCGTATGATCTTAAGTAAAGTCTCCTCTCTACTGATCTTAAACGCCTCTATAGCTGCCTGGCTTGTACGACGAGTTGCTCAATCATCCTGCCTTGCCCGACGATACACGCCGGCTTATCGAGGGAAAGTTATTGAGACATAAACGAGCTCATCTACAGGCATTGGGTACTTCTGACCCTCTCAAGGCGACATTGGCAAAGGACGTACAAGCTCTTGTCGACGGTGCCGTATTGCTTGGCATTGAGGATGAAGTTGCGTGGGAAATTTGGATCGAAGGGCGGGACGCTGCTACAATTGGTGGGTGGTTGGTCGCTGTTTACACGGCGTTCAGCAACTTACACGGGACGGAGCCAGAGGACTATGACTTTCCGACGTTGCGGAGATACTTTGAACTCTTTCCAGGGTCTCCCCGTGCAAAACTTGCGCGAGCGTATATGCTGTACATCGGCGCTTGGGAGGAAGAAGAGGATGAAAAGGATGACGAAGGATATGAGGGTCCCATCCCAGACCAAGAAAAAGAAGAGCCGTTGGACATCATACTCGTATGCTGGTTTCTCTCACTGATCTACGTGGGGACAAAGCTGACGCATTTTGTATATACTCCGCAGGACGCGTTCAATGTGTTATCAGGCTCTATTCTCGCGCACCGGGTGCTCTCCGAAGTGTATCTCTGGGAGTTCGACTACGCCAATGCTATCGCAGTAGCTGAGGTTGGGTTAGAGCTTGTCCGTGCACATGCTAAGGATACGGGGACACCACTTGACTTGTACGTTCATTGACTGGCGAAACCAACTGAGACTGACGTGGGTACGGGCAGCGTTTCCAAGGCGTTCAATGTCACACTTGCCACAGCTCTTGTACATCACTTCCCACCAAAACATCACGCACGCGCACTGCGCATGCTGGACGACATTCTCAGTGCAGACCCGGAAAATGTATCATGTCTGATGGGCCGTGGCTACGTCATGCAGCGCAAAAGCAGCTGGGAGGAAGCGGCAAACATGTTTACACGTGTTCCGGACGAACACGACGAAGGTATCAGGGCGCGCGAGGAAGAAGCGTGGTGCGCTGTACAACTGTACAGGCTTGATGAGGGCATCGCCGGTCTCGAAGGCGTTCTGGGCCAGCTTGACGGCGTCGAGGGTAAAGATGAGGATCGTGCACGGTGTTTATATAGGCTCGGCCATGCATACTGGGAGAAGGGCGGTACGTACTGATGTTGAACTTTCACATGGGACCGTCGCTGATGTGTTCCAAAAGATGAATCGCACGAGGCAGCTTACAAGTATTACATCAAGTCGCTGAAAGAGTCTTCCACGTTTGCGCCATCTTTCACTGCTCTCGGTGTCTACTACCTGTCAACCTCTCCGCCGGACCCTGCGCGTGCTTCCAGATGCTTTCAAAAGGCTTTTGAACTCGATGCGCGCGAGGGTGAAGCTGCACGCCGGCTCGCGGAGGGGTTCGCGGAAGAGAAGGAGTGGGACTTGGTCGAAGTTGTTGCGAAGCGTACGATCGAAGGAGAAGGCGGCGCAGAGGCCGACGCAAACGAGATTGCGGCTTCTCGATATGCACCAACAAATGCGTGGGCATGGAAGGCGATGGGTGTTGTTCATCTGGTTCGTGATGCACGGCCACTCCGCTAGGACAGACAAGGATTGACGCTGCCATACAGAATAGGCGTGACTTTCCTCCTGCTATACAGGCTTTCCAAGTTGCCTTGCGTGCTACTAGCGACGATGCGCTCTCTTGGCTTCGGTTGGGCGAGGCGTATGCCGCTGCGGGGAGACATGTCGCGGCGCTCAAGGCGCTTAACCGCGCGCGGGAACTAGCGCCTGACGACTGGGTGTGTGCCTATCAAATCGGCGATGTACAGCGCCAAATGGGACAATACTCTGAGGCACTTGCATCATTGGAGGCCTTACTGGAAGCGCGTCCCGGAGAGCCCGGCGTCATTGTTGCGCTAGCGCAGACTCATCTTGATCTCGGGCGGGAGCAGGCGAACACCGGATTCCTAGCACGAGCAGAGGACTCCTTCGTACTCGCTGTGGACGCTGCGTTGGAGTTTATCTCCTCAGATGCGGGCTTCCGAGGCATTGTGTGGAAGACGGTCGCGGACGCGTTGATTCTACTTTCGAAGCGGACATCATTCGAAGATCCGGACAACGTGCGCGACGCACTTGAGGCAGTCCTCCCGTTCATCACGCTCGATAAAGGCAGCAGGCTCTCAGATATCCTTCCGCTGCCAGTCACCTTGCCATCCGCAGAAGAGGGTCTGAGGGGTGTTGATGTACTCAAGGTCGCCTTAGCGATCTACGATTACCGGCTCACACTGGGCTTGCCGGATACAACGGCCACTGCCAGTGCTTGGTACGACTTCGCTATGGCGCTCCAAGCATACGAAACCGCAAGCGTCTGGGCCGAAGATAAGAAGGTCGCCATTCATAAGAGTGCTGTCGGCGCTGCGATGGAGGCTGTGCGAAGTGATCCGCGCGAACCCCGGCATTGGCGCGCGTTCGGTGACCTGTCCTTTGTCACTCAGGCCCGTAGCGCACAGCACGCGTATGTCAGAGCACTTGAACTCGACGGGAAGGATGTGCAGACGTGGGTCAGCTTGGGCTTACTATACTTGCATCATGGAGACGCACCACTTGCGAACGAGGCTTTTTATCGCGCTCAGACGCTCGACCCCGATTATGCCCTTGCTTGGGTCGGACAAGGCCTGGTTGCTACTCAGAACGGCCACCTTGCGGATTCAAGAGTCCTGTTCGAGCATGCTGTATCTTTGACGGCCGAAGTGGTGAGCGTTAAGAGTACGCAATCTCGGATGTGTCACTGACCTTGTACTAGCCCGATGCAGATCTCGAGTTTGCGCAGCGCGAGTTCAAACACCATACGCATCAAAGCTCGGATAAGCTGTTCCCAGCTTTCTTTGTTCTGGGCCGCTACTGTCAACAACGGCCCGACGATGCTGCTGCGCTGCATCTCTACTCCCTCATATCTGAACGCGTTGGCCACCTCTCACTAGCCGCTGAGCTTGCAGGACGTGCTATCGCCGTGCTCGAAGTCGCTTATGAAGAGAGCGAAGATGCAACAATCGAGCGCCAGTTCGCCATCGCGAATACGACGATGGCTCGCGTGCAGCTCGCTCTGAGCGCATACCCCGTAGCGCTTGAGTATTATGAAAGCGCTACTGGTATCCTCGGCGAGGATGAAGTCGGCTCATTGAAAGCCCAGTGTCATTTTGGCACTGGACTCGCGAACTTCAAGCTTGGGAAGCTGCAAGAAGCAGTAGAAGCCTTCGAGCTTGCACTGGGTGCTGCCGGTGAAGATGCTGCGATCAAAGGGCATGTCACCGTTCTATTGGCACAAACGTTGTGGGCGATCGGCTCGCAGGAGGCGCAAGAGAGCGCAAAGGCACAGCTTCTCGAATGGTCAGTATCTGAAGGCGTCGACTTGAACATTACTGACGCTTCCTGTAGTATCACTATAGACCCGGAGAATCTGACTGCCATCAACGCACTCGCTGGAATGGGCATACTTACCGAGGACGAGAATCTTGTAGACGCTGCGCTCTCGGAGATCTTGTCATTGCCTTTGGATCAGCGGCGCGCCCGCGACCCTCGACGAGATGTCAATTACCTCCTTACACAGCAACGACTTGAACAGGTACGATATTCTTACGCTCCAGCTGTATTGGTCTTGCTGACGCACAATGAAGAACGATGTTGGTGGAGCCCGAGCTGAAGCGCAGCGAGCCGTGCATGCTGAACCCGCTAGCGCATCTGTCCACCATTCTCTGGCTCAAGTCGTTATGCAAACGGGCGATGCGGCCTCAGCGCACGCCATCTTGGCGTCAGGAGCTGAGACTGATATGAATGAACAGCGCGAGGCGCTTGCGCTGCTTGCTGTTGCGGAGACAGAGGTAGATCCTCCCGTCGCCCTCAAGACTGCACAACGCGCAGTAATCCTTGCGCCGTGGGAGATAAAGAACTGGCAGGCATTAGCGTACGCTAGGAGTAAGGGCTCTTGATATGGTGCAAGCTACAATATCCTTATGGTATACTGCTGTGTATGTACGTCGCGCCCCGGTGGGACATGGGTCATTCACCTCTCACGTTTCGCAATGCGGCGTCACCGGCGCGCCGCGGCGGATTGGGTTGTCATGAACTAACCATTACATTACTACTGCTTACTGGCTGATCCATACCTATTCTCTTCTTCTGCTACTGTCGGTTCAACACGCGTAATTCAGGCAACACAGGCACTGTCAATCGACGTCGGCAGATTCCGGATGGCCGGCAATTTGTATACTCCACGGTGAGCCTGAGATAGCCAGCTTCTTCCACAACCACCACCATCAGTCTTACCGTAGGGCATCCCGACGAGATGCACCTAGGTAGACTTGTCGATGGGTCTTTAGTCACCCTTGCCATTCAATGGCTCAGTGAAGCTCCGGTAACGACAGAGGCCCTAGACTCTTGCTTCTCGGCTTCGTATCGCGGTACCTACGGCAAGCTCCGTCTATACACTCCCCACGCAGCATGTTCTATCCCCTCAGGAATGTTGCCGCAATGCTTGTCCTGGGACGAGAACGTTGACGAGTTAATCTGGGTGCATGAAGTGCCGCTCGCTGCCCATCTTGGCGAACTTCGGCGGAATACACCTCTAATTTCTAACATCACGGGCTACTTCGCCCTGTCAGACTTACGAGGGCTTCCAATCTCAGATGATCCCTCGCGAATCTCAACGAATGATGGCTACCACAGTTGCCAACGGTCAAACCGAGGGACGAGGGTGCTGCACAGCACTGAATCTTCAGTTCTTCTAGCACTCCCCGCTTCCCATGTTTACGACTTCTACTCGTTCCTCCCGCCAACTTGGAACGCGTACAGAATGCCATCTGGGACAGAGCTCACCCCTTACCTCCCTGTGCCCAAGCCGGCCATCGATGGAGTGCGCGAGTTACTCAAAACCCTTCACTATAGCAGTGCGATCGCGGACGTCGTAGACGCAGTCTCCATCGTACAACTTGGGTCTGATATACGATGGCTATCTGGCGAAGATGGATCGTCACCAATCGTCAGCCGACACTCGTTCGCGGAGGGGTCGCGCTATGCGGCAAGCTGGATGAAAGATGAGATCGAAGAGACAGGGGCTATATGCGAGCTGCAGCCTTTCCTTCTTGGCTTCGCCCCCAATTTGATATGGTCAGCCCCATTTTCTTGCATCTCTCATGTCTACTGACGTCCGCTGGTAGCCGCTATCCTGGTACAACGAACACGACAGCCACAGTGATCCTTGGCGCGCACTACGACAGTCGAGGTTCCTTTGGTAGTCCCCGAGCGCCTGGGGCTGACGACAATGGATCTGGCACTGTCGGTGTGCTTTCGATTGCGCGCTTGATCGCCTCGAAAGGTATCGCGTTTGAGTCGAACGTGGAGCTCGCTCTGTTCGCTGGAGAGGAGCAAGGTTTGCTCGGTTCGAAGCACTACGCCAGTAAGCTACGATCTACTTTATGCCATTTTCAATCGGCCGACACCATATAGAACAGCTGAGAGCCGCGAACAAGAACGTGACCTTCATGTTGCAAGCAGATTCTGTAGCGTACCGCACCCCAGGAACGCAGCCGCAACTAGGCCTACCGGATCTGTCAGTCTATCATCCCGAAAAGCATGAGAACAGTTTCTTATTGTCGTCGATAGTATCGGGACCCCCGAGGCAGCCCAACTCGTCGGCAATATCTCTAACCTCTACTCACCAGAGTTACGCGTAGGTTATACTCCAGTATGTCTTCTCCTCGAGATCGTCGCGTCTACACACTCATCATACTCCAGGTATGCTGCAGCGACCACCAGGTGAGTCTTGTGCTCTGTCCAGCGCTAACGACGCTGACATGATTGCAGTCATTCCACGAGCAAGGCTTTCCCGCGACATGGATCTATGAGAGTGCAGGTCCAGTTATCGACCCTATGTACCATAACAGCGGTGGGACAACTCGTATCTCAACCGTCGTTGCTTGCTGAAGCTCTCAAAGGAGATCTGAGTGATCGTATTGGATACGACTTCAGCCAATTGAGAAGCGCCGTGAAAGTCATGGTGAGCTTGATTGGGTTCCAAGACGCAGTCGACTCACCAGTTCGTCAGTTTGCGACCATTCTGCATGCCGCAGGATATCATACTGCTGCACGTGGCGGCTTCGAAGAGCAGCATGTGTTCAAGTATGAGATTGGCACGTAGGCACTGAGTCCTGGCTCGTGAAGTCGCCCAAATGATAGGGTATGCAGTGAGTGCTGCAGACTACCCTTAGGAGCAATATCTGAAAGCATTGAGCAGAGCATTTGTGAATGCGCCAATGGCTTTCACCAGCATACTTGGGCATCTACGCTCATCGGTCTCGTTCGGGTTAGATCACAACAATGTTTCTGCGTGTACACCAAGTAAAAACCTAAGATATTACAGACCGAGGTAACCAATATATGAAGCCAAGGGAAAGATCGAGTCCGCGGGAGTCGCCACTGTTATGTTTACTTCGGACTCTTCAAGGGCAGAAGGTGATGGTGTAGTCGGGACCAACGCCGTTGGCGATCGGGCAGGTGAAGAGCGCCGTGCCGGAGCTCTCGTCGTATGCGTAGACGTACGAGTCAGGGCAACGGTCCTTGAAGTAGGAGTAGTAGTCAACGCCCGAAGGGGGGCACGTCGCGGCAGCTGATGTGTGCATCAGTATACGCAGGCAGCTACCCGGCACTGTCGGAGTACGCACTGTTCTGGTTGCCAGAGCAGCAGTTGTTCGTTCCGCCAAGGGCATCGCAGGCCGACTTGCAGCCGACGGGGAAACCCGAGCTGTCGTATGGGCCCTGGAGTGCGGCAGGGCAGTCGGGGCCGAGGTCAACCGGGCACGAGCCGACGGGGCAGCCGTACGTGTTGTCAATGCGAATGGGCAGGTTGTAGCCGTCAACAAGGGAGACGTCGTAGTTGTCGGGTGCGGCGGTTGTAGTTGAGAGAGTGAACTCGGCGAGCGAGGCAGGAGGAACACCCGTTCCGCCATTGTTAATGTCGCAAACGAGACCGCCGTTGCAACCACCGTCAAGGCCTTTGCAAGAGCTCGTCAGTATGCGAGTGCACCTAGTGTGGCAAGCTACGCACAGGAGTTCGGTCCGGGGTTGCTGCTGAAGTCGCAGTTGCGGCGACCCCAGATACGACCGGAGACCCAGTTGTCAGGAACACCGAACGAGACAGTTTGGTATGCAGCCTGTTCCCAGCTTTTGAAGACCGTTGTCAGATCTGTCCGCTCATCGAGAGTGATTAAAAGATACTCACCCAGAGGCGATCGTAGGCGTGGCAGCGTTGAGCTCGGGTGGCGCGAACCATGCCGGCCAGATGGTGAATGGACATTGGTTGTAGACGGTGAAGAGACGAGCTTGCGCGCCAGTGGCGAGTGTCGCGGCGGTGGCAACCGAGACGAAGGTGGACTTCATGATGATCGTGAGATGTATGGGAAAAGTGGCTGGAACTCTAGAGGAGTTGTTGGTTTGCCAGAACGAGGAATCGACAACGTCAGGCTTCTGTATTTAAACACCAGAGAGCCAGGCGCATAGCATGTGGGTAGAGGATGAACATCGACGCCAGGGGCAGTTCCTTGGACACCACGCGCTCATGTTTCGTACTTGCATGGGTCGTCGACTCTGCTCTAGAGGGACCGCCGGCAACCGACCTGGTGGTATGATAACAGTCCAGGGCTGCCAAGCGATATTTGATCAGGAGTTTCGTCAGGCTGCGCACGTCCAATACAGGTTCGTGGCTTTCAACCGACAACGACACGAAGGCGGCAAGGGGATGTAGCCGGTACGTTGAGGTTATTCCGGTAATCGCAAAGCCGTACAGGACGACATCATCCGAGCTCTACAGCTAGTGTCCAAAGCTCAGAGGTACTATGAGTGGGACATGCTATCACAGGTATGTTGCGATAGAACCATGGCGGTTGTGAACAAGACCACGATCTGCATTATGACAACCTTCGGTGGTCCGATCCGACATCAACGTGTGACGGTCTTTGCCGTACCCGATGCCCGAACCTCTGGACGCGGCTTCTGTCCTTTACTCCGAGCTCGACTGTCACACATCTGCTCTCTGATACTGTTGCACGCTGCCGCACTCTAGGCCTGAAGAGAATTTAATACGATGTCCCGTATCAGCCTGAACACGAAGATCGAGCATTACGAGTTGTCATGACGTCCTCCGAGTCGTTGGAATTTCGGGTCATCCATACCTCTCGCTCGATCGTTACAAGCATTCATTCGACCATCGTGACCTGTTTATCTCGGCCTGACGAGGTACAGCACGTTCGAAATGCGGCACATGTATACTGCGAGGATGTTTTCATCGTCAACGCGCCTTGTGGAGGTGTGATAGACTTCGCGAAGATCATCAGGTAACGTCACCGATCTATAGCGGTGTACCGTATGATGTTGCTGGTCTCCTCGGTTCCTCCTGGCGCTCGAGCCGCCGGGAGTGTGTTGCTTCCTGGCTACAGATTGAATGTGGGGTGAACTGGAAACCTGTAAATAAGCTGGATAGAATCCCTACCATGAACTTCTCACCACAAGGACTGGTGACATTTGGGCCTGTCTACCTAGCGCAGTAGCTGAAGAGAATCTCTCGGTGCTGCTCTTCCGAGCATATAATATATGACATGACCGACATCAAAACGGCCTCGCGTTCTTTGCGGTGCTCGGTAGTCAAGCGAGCGAATACAGCCCGACGCCGGCCGCAACAGGCTTGAGCACACCGACTAGATCGTCGGCAAAGCCCTGCGATGTGAATGTTGCACGCGTAAGATATGCGCGCACGCATCCGAGCCATGCTGTATGCCGCGTAATTCAGTTACTGGCCCAGTCACGAACGTTGATCTATAGCGCTCTATCGCCGCAAGTCACGCGAAACGATTTGCTGCGAGGCCGCACGTACAGCTTGAGCGTTCGAGAGGAAGCCCGGAGTAGTCTTTCCAGGCAGTCCGAGACTCCGAATCTTCACAGAGACTGTGCAGGCGATATGGACCGGCAGTTTATGCGCTCACATAGTCGGACTACGGAGCGGCTCGGGTTTAAGACTTTGATCAACGTCGTGTAAACGTGGTGCTCATCGCAGAAAACAGGGATTAGAGCTTCCTGTAGAGATTGTGGAGCGCCTTTCAAGCCGACAATACACGAGGATGTTGTATATTGATTGGAAATCAGAGGGGAGTGAATGGTGGACGTCAAAAGCAAGCCATTCGGCGGAATACGCACCATGCCATCGGTGTCGGCATATTGCGGGCCGGCCACGTGCGCGCCAGACGCCCGGAACACCATGGACGCGTCAAGCATGCAGAAGCAGGCTTTAAGCTGCTCAAACCACCATGGCATGTACCACTTTTAGTCCATGTTCTGGCAAGCGATGCTCACATGAGACATATTAGCTCATTTTCTCAGTGTTTAAGACCTTGACTGATCAGCGTGTCACCGTCGAGCTGAAGAATGACCTCTCGATCACTGGAACACTCAAGTCGGTTGACCAGTACGTTGCACAACATCTCTCAAGACATAGATAGCTGACTATTGCGTCAAGATTCCTCAACATTCGTCTCGATGCTATTGAGGTCTTGGACCAGGCGCGGCATCCACACATGGTGCGTACCCGGTGATGTTCTAGCTCTCGAGCGCTCCCGACCTTTGATCGCAGATGGCTGTTAAGAACTGCTTTATCCGTGGCTCCGTAGTGCGTTATGTGCAGTTACCCGCAGAACACGTGGACACGCAATTGCTAGAGGATGCGACGCGTAGAGGTGCGTGTTCATGCTCCCTTGTCCTCGGCAACATACTAATGACCATGTAGAAGCGACGAACCCCGGGAAACGCTGATTCTATTGGCATATCGACTTCGCATTGTTTCGTTGCTTTCGACATATTGTAGCATTACACATATCAAAATCTACGGCCCGAGCCCTACGAGCCGGACGATGGATAGCGCCACACCTTGACGGTGCCATCCGCGCTCGCAGTGATCATCTCCCCGACTTCCGTGGGGTGATGTTCTACCCAGGTAACCACCTTACCATGCACCTTGGGTGGTGGCTTCGGCGCCAGCACGCACGCGTCCAAGAGATCCCAATTCCATACGCTGCCGTTCTCGTCACCGGCTATGATAGATGCTTCGCCGTGGCCAAATACGGCGCGGCATCGGTACGACGAGTGCGAGTGGCCTGAGAAATCGTTCAGGAGCTTGCCGCTAGACGCGTCCATCAGGCGTATGTGTCCGTCGAGCGTCATCACCAGATATGATGCGTAGTCCTGAGTTGGCACTACAGACGTAACTGGATCTGCAGAGTAGTTCAGTCATACATGCTCAGAGAAGCCGCGAATGAACCAACGTACGCCCGATATAGTCAGAACGTAGTTCTCCCTTCCGCAGATCATACGTGCGAACATGACCGTCAACACAGCCGGTCAGAATCTGAGTCGGTCCGACGTGAATTGTTTGTACTGAGTCTCGGGCGTCTTCTAGAGTTTGTATTGGCGAACGGTTGACCGACCGCAAGTCCCATAGTTTGACAGTAGAGTCGTATGAACCTGCGTGAATAGTCAGTCAAGTACTGATATGTATCATCTTGTGATCACTCACCGCTGGCTACAACAGTAGCATCATGATTGAACTCGACGACGTTGATCTTCTGTAAATGGCCAGATATTCGGCGCAGCGTCTGTCCAGCAGTAACATCCCAGATAAAGATAGAACGGTCGCCTCCAGAACTCGCGAATTTGGCGTTATCGTGCGCGCTAGGATATATTAAGTGTCAGTCGTTATATGCCTAGCCGCAAGAGTCAGGAAACACGCACACACTGATAGACAACACTTCGTACCCGTGCGCCGAGTAGGACTTGATCTCCGTTCCGAGTGTAGGATTCCATAGTCGGATTGTGCGGTCCTGGCCGCCGCTCAAGATATATTTTGCTGCGCCCTTCGCATACCGCACAGTATGTACTGGTCCCTTGTGTAGAGATAGTGTCTGATGGAGCGAGCGAGGAAGCGGTTCGGGGCCTCGAGAAGGTGCCATGGTCGTGGCCGGAAGCAAGGCACGTCTCGGCTCAGCGACTGAGTTGACGCGATTGAGCTCCGTGAATCGCCTCTAACTTGTACCACCATCGCAGCTTCACATCCCCCTTCTTGGTTGTAGTGGTCGCGTGCATCAATGTCGAAGCGCGCGCTGTCGCCGGCGCTGTTGCCTCCTTCGAAGCGTGTACATGTCCCGCCAAATGACAAGCGTCACGTCTCCGCACCGGAACGGACATTCGATTCCCTATTCTTCGACGAACTCATCCTTAACGTCTTCTCGTACCTATCATACGCCGATCTTTGCGTGGCGCAAGGCGTGAACCATAACTGGGCTCGCTTATCTCTCGACAACCAGGTGCATAATGCCGAAGATTAACATTAGAGCGGGTCACTGAACTTGCGCCTCGGCGCACTACTGCAGCTCTGGAAGAGCTTGTACGTGAAGGAGTATGGACGACTCAGGCTACGCGGTGGCCGGGGCTCGGCCAAGCGCCCAGACGGACGGGAGATCAAGCCACTACCTGGAAGGGCCGCTCAGTTCTTAGCGCTCGAAGGGCTCAAGGACTGGAAATGGATGTTCAAGATTAGCAGCAACTGGAGGACAGGTCAGGATTGCGTACGCTTCAGGAGTAATATTGTACTCACATGTGATGCAGGACACTGCAGCGTATCACATCTACAAGGAAGTCCTGGTGTATCGCCAGTATCAACCAGCATCTTGCCAGTTACGTCCTACCACGCTCCAGTCAACATCACCAATCTAGTCCTGTCCGGCTCGACGACCATATATGCATCTTCTGAGCCGTCACCTGCTCCCTCTATCCAACTCTTTGGGCGTACGCCCATTCCCATATCATTCCCAGCAGCTCCCGAAAGACCGGATGCATACGTCGCCGTCACGGCTTTAACCGTTGATCAATCTCATACAACCATTGGTCATACTCGATATGCCGTCTGTCTGTCTAGCGGCGAGCTTGCAATCCACAACCTCAAGGACGGTTCGCTCGCACCCACCATCGAGCATTCATACACCCCACCGGCCCCATCTAGACGAGTGACGCCCATCATTCAGGTCGCCTACCATCACCCTTTAGTTGTCACTCTCTCCGAGAGCTTCAGTCTATCCGTGTATAACGCGAGTGCGCCGCAGATCAGCCTCGTGCATTGCTTAACGTCCTTCACGAGCTTTCCTCCCGCTTCACTTGTCCTGACTGCGCCGTCGTTGACGTCATACAAACTCCTCGTCTCCTATTGTTGCCCTACGTATCCAAGGCATTGGAGCGTCGGTATGACAGAGGTGCTCATACGCTTGACAACCGCTTCCGCGGCTTTCGAACTGCAATCCACCCGATCCATCAAGGCATTGGACATGCCCGTTGGCTTCATCGATGATGCGAAGATGGAGGCGCTGAAGGAACAATGGGGACGCAAGGTTCCCGCCGTTGCCGCCACGCAGAGCGACGGGAAATGGGTCGTGTTGGCGCCGACGGATGCGCCCTGCACTGAATGCGCATTATCATCCGCGACCTTCTCGGTGACATGCAATCACCCGGAGCGGCGTGCATGGGCGCCGACGAGCCTTCCACTCCAACTCTATCGCCTGAGCTTCCCGTCTTCAGGATCGTCAACGGGGTTGAACTCGAAGCTCACCTTCGTGCGTCACCTGTACGGCCAGACTGCGCCGATTGCCAGTCTAGCGCTAGCGGATGGACGCTGCGTGGGCTTAGGGCTCGACGGCAGCGTGTGGACGTGGGACCTAGAGGGGGGTGGACTAGGTGTAGAAGTATCTCCTCCCATCACGAAAGGCGATTCGGACGAGGACGATGCGGTACGGTACGCTCGTCTACGCGATGGGATGAAGGGTGTCGTGTCCTTTGACGAGCGTAGGATCGTGACCTCGGGACCTAACGGCATCATTGTGCGCAACTTCGATACATGATTCCCGTTTGCCCTATCGCGAGTTGCTTTTACGCCAGATACTCTTGCTTTCGTGTCTTATTCCACATGTTCATTTTGTACTGATCGGATTCCGTGTTGTCACAGTATACAGCTTCTTCCCTCATACACGCATTGCTCCCTATAGAATGTATATCCCTATCCTCTACGCCTCAATGGATGCCCACTTCTCGAACGCTTCGTAGAACTTGGCCGCCCACTCGTTACCGAAGATGACCTTGCCCACCTCGCCATCACGGCCATTGCCGATGACGATAGACTTGAAAGACGCCGCGAGAGCGATGTCGGCAAAGCAAGGTTTATCACCCCCGAAGAAGAGTGCTCCTTCGCCAGCGTGTTTTGTCACCTCCTTTGCGGCATTCTCGAGCCCGGAGGCGAAGGCGGCGAGTGCGGCCGCGCGTTTCTCGCCCTGAGGAGCAATCTCCTCTAGAGGACGGCCGAAACGCGCCTCGCGAGTGCGGCGGAAGTACTCCTTGTCCTTCTCGTCAAGGCCGTTATAGATGCCAAACACGAGCAGTGGGAAGACGGTCAATAAGAGAGGCTGCAGGCTTGTCTTCATGTATATCGTCTGTGCCTCGCGGGTCTCCGGCGCAAAAACCGCGGGCGTGTCGGGGTACTGCAAGCCAACGAGGTCAGCCGGCGGTTGCAATGGACAACGATCATGCTGGGGACGTCACCTGAGTGTCGAGATAGACGGCAATCTTGACAGAGTCTGATACGGCCGCGCCGGTGGCTGGATCGATGATGGCAGGTACGGTGTAGAACTCGCCCTCTGAAGGGGGGATTTTGGCCGCCTGGAAAGTAGGCTTGATGTCCACAAAGTTGACAAACGTTGTCTTGTACGGTAGGCCCTTGATGTTGAGAGTGTAGCTTAACGCAGGTTGAGTCGCAGTTGCCTCCCTTGCAAAAACATGAGGTGGAACTCACCGAATCTTCCAAGCGTTCGGGCTGGCAGGAACACCAGCGGCGATGCGGAGGTCGTAGAAAGTGAAGGGAGTGGACATGATGAATGAGAACCGGGGTGATCTGAGCGTATTGAAATGGAATCGGTCGAAGAGCTTCTTATACCTGATTTCGACGACCAGATTGCTGCGAGACCTCCGGTCCAAGGGAGTGCATCTACATGTGCGGAACAGCCGGGTGCACCTTGGCCAACGCGATGTGGTTGCTTTGGGCCACAGCCATCTATTCTGCGCAGTGATCTTCGGTTATCCGGTAGAGTACGCATCGCCGGCTACAAAGTTGACCGGAGTCGATTAACCGGCAGTATGATCGCATGACATGATAGCTTGATACTCGTAATATCGATACTCGAGGTACATACAATCCCTAGACGGAAGAAATCAACGAGATCCAAATGACGATTGGCACTTGGACTCATTCATGGCTGGCACTCGGCGTGTTATGATAAAGGTCGCCGAGAACAGAGTATGAGAGAGCCTTGGAACAGTCAATGTCGTACATCGTACTTCTTGTACCATGAGATGCAGCGTTAGGCCATATGCCCGCTGCATGGGTTCGCCATGCTGCTCGCGGTGCCGCGGCTTCTCTAATCGCCCTGAGCCATCGTCCGTCGGAGGCGCCTCCGATTGTTTCCCGAGCACATTGAAAGAATTGAGTTAACTCGGCGAGAACGAATAGTCTCTTCCCTGAGCCGAAGATTCGCCTATGTGATGTCGTCAGAACATGTTTCTTTGTGTGAGTCCACGAGTCCAATTGCAAGTGGTTCTAATAGCCATCGATGAATCGCGTGAAGTTTTGTTAGATAGACGATTGTGACATCGAATAGCACCAGCACAACATGTAAGATGTGAGGTTCGAGCTATCCTGGAACGTACACCGTTTGGATGATTGTACATATGAAGCCCAAATTGGAGTATACATGCACGAAGAACACCTTCCCTTTCGAATAGAATCAAGATCCACAGTAAATGATCACTCCTCAAAGACCCGCGGCGGTGCGAAGCTTGACAAAATCAGGGCTTCCGTTTCCGGTAACCGGCTATTTCAATGAGTTAGAACATAGTAACTATCGCGGAGAGGATTTGTGACTCACGTCCCAGCCAGCCTTCGCCGGGAAACCATTCTGGAGACGGGATCTTAATAACGAACTTGAAAGTAGAAGCATAACGTAGTGCTCACGGTGTTGCAACCCGGGTTCGAACCCGATGTAATGTCGTTGAGTGCGCTCGCAGCAGTGGAGTATAACCATGGGTTCAAGAAGCCAAGAGGCGGCTTGCCAGCGGCAATGAGATCGCTATTGATGAGAGCGATGACACTCGCGAAGATGGGACTGGAGCAGCTCGTGCCGGCGACCAGACCAGTTTGTCCCCCGCTGACGATCTCAACGTCTTCGCCGATAGCGGCAACATCCTTAGATGCTATGTCAGTACTCGTGCCGCCTGCCACGCCCTAAGTCATATACACACCGGGTACCCACGTCCACTGGCATTGAATTTGCCCGAGTTGGTCGAACCCAGAGCAGAGAGGTAAGCGGCCTTAGCCGATGTCTGGTACGAGGGTGTGTCAAAGTAGTTGGAGAAGCCTCCAGCAGACAGTGCGGCAGCAACTTCGGGGTTGACGTTCTGCGTCGCACCGACAGAGGTCAGGCTATATACAGGTCAATATTATCACAAAAGTAACGAAGCACCATGCTTACAAGGGGCATCCGGACGGGAAGGTCGGGATGAACTTCGAGCACGATTGCGACTGCGAGCCAGAGACGCCACCGTCACCGGATGCGAACAGGATAGAGGTTCCGCGAGTACCGATTGACGCATACGCATTGCAGAGCTTCTCAGCCAGGGCGCGGGAGATGGTGCTTTCATCCTGTTATCACTATCGATGAGTATACGGAGGGGCGATGATAGAGGTATATGATGTGCCTGCCCGTAAGAAGTTGTGAGGACAGTTGGCGGAGTGGACTCGGCAGCCAGGAAGTTGATGATGTCGAGGAAGCCCTCCAAGTCACCATCCTATATCACATATTAGTAGGCGAGCGCGACGATTCAGTTCGACAATCTGACCTGGAAGTTGTCGCCGACAGAGACAAATGCGACAGGGACGCCGGTCGCGAGTCCTACCGTGTACTCAATATCCAGATCCTAGGAGAATGTCAATAGAGTGTTAGAGCCGATGCGTGGAACTTGAGACATACGGCCTCAACACCAGCCTCATTGATGTTCTGGGGGTTCGAACCCTAATCAAGGTACGGTGAGAACATCTATGATTCAGAGACGACATGATGAACGTACGCCGTCAAGAGTCTGCAGGGTGAATGTGGTAGACGACGAGATGTCCTTGCGGAAGGACGTGAGGAAAGACTTGAGATCCTGAGAAGAGATCATCTATCAGTATTAGTCATTATATCGATGACCTCACACATACCGCCTGGTTCGCGAACTGGTCAACTAATGCAATCGTTCAATAATTGTTTAGTAATTGGCTGATTCGGCGACGAGACACTCACTGAATCCCGAAACAGCAAGTTGGTTAGAGCTCTTGGGGGCCGCGGTGGTAGGAATATTGTACAGCTCTTGGAGGCACGTGGGAGTGATAGCCCTGTTGCATGACGAAGGTGCTGCGTTCGTAGAGAGATTCTGAAGAGGAATAGAGGCGACAGGGAGCGAGTGGCGAGGACCGGGGAATCTGTGAGTTCATTAGAACGAAGCGAGATCCATAGAGAACGAGAGACCCTACGAGACGGTCGGGTGGACAAGCTCAACGTGTTCCTTCAGAGACGCCGGAATAGAGTACGAAAGGGTGCGAATGACGGCATCTCCTGTCTGGCTATTGGAAAACGTCGAAAAGTCGGCGTCAAGAAGGGCGTTCGCCTGCTTGACAGTTGTCGTAATAGTAATCCAGTCTCCAGCCGGGGAAGCCTGAGTAGACTCGAGCCCGTTCTCAGACAACCACTTCTGTACAGCATCAACAGTGGAGGCTTTAGGGGATGTGTAGGCGAAGAGCTTGACAACGATCAGACCGAAGTTCTTCCTTTGAAGTCAGATGAAGAGCTCACCTCGTCCTTGGAGAGGTGCTGGCCATACGCTGCGTTTCCGGGGGTGCTAACCTCCATGAGCTTGTCCTTCAGGCCAGCGATATCGGACTGCACTAGCGCAATGCGAAGACGAAGAGGTGCGTCTGAAGCTGCAGGGCCATGGCTGACGAACGAGGCGGGATGTGTGTCCCTCTTCTCATGAAGCAGCAACGAGCGTTCTGATAAGGCTGAGGCGCCAGTCACGACGAGGAGCGAAGTGAGTATAGCGGTGACAGAACGCATGCTTGCACGAGTCAGGGAAGGACGTGGACGAATGACGCCTGAAGAGTAACTACAGCGTAAGTAAGACCTTTATACCAGGAAGAAGAACGCGAATCACCGGGCGTATGTTCTGTGGACGACAGCTAGAAGCGTTACACGCGAGATCTCAGCTCCGCCCACACGATTGTCCTAGATACGTCGGAGAGTGCGCGGGCGCAAAGATCGATGAGGCTGTATCCGTGTATCCGTGTACGCAGGTCGTAAGCTGGAATGTATGCTTCGATCAGCGCAGAACCATTGTGGGGATGAGGAAGTCAGCCGGACCTTGTGGAGGATGCAGGGTTTCTGCGGTGCGTTGCGAACTGGCATGCTTGCCCGTGAGAGGTCACATCCCCAGAAGGGAATCAAACCAGTCGTCAGTGTAGACTGCAGCCGTGATTGGAATACCAATATGATGGAAGACCTCCCAGTAGAGGTCACCCAACCTCCATCTATCTGTCAGCGACAATGTCATCCATATGGAGGCAATGACCCGACCACAATACCACGCAGGCAGAGCGCTAGAAGCTCCCTTATACCTATGGGCGCTCAGAGGAAACCCCGATAAGGCTTCCATAAGGCGCTATCTCGTGTGCCGCAAACTATTCGCAGGTCTGACAAGGCGTACACATATGCTCGAGCGCCTTTCCATTCCCTCAGAACCATCGAAGTCGGGCTGTGAGGCCTGAGGGCTGAATGTGTCTGTTACGGACTCCGACACCCGCCGCGGGAAATGGCACACGAGCTTCAACCGCGGCTGGAACGTTGAATGGCACGAGAGCACATGTCTTGCAGCAGCGCCAGCGTGGTCGATGTCGTCGAAACTTGGTCGCCGGGTGAGCAACACCCACAGACTCGGCCCGGTCACACGAGCAAAAGACGAAAGCTTGTAGCACCGCTGCTGCTGCAGAGCACCCCGGCTTCCTCTCCGCATTTTCGGGTGGTTCTCAGCACGTCTACTGGGTAGGGGGATGAGGAAATTTGTACAACGTATGTCGTGGTGGTGGTGGTGGTGGTGGTGGTGTCGTGCAAAGGGCAGGTCGCAGCCCCCTGCTCAAACGGACATCACGTAATACCCAGTAACGTCGGGCCGGGGCACGCGACCGGTCCGAGTGGTCCGGTTCGTCGACCAGAAATAACGCACTTGCACTAGCAAGCTGCAAGCGACTCCAGACCACCATGTTCACGCCCCGAGCAATCCAGTTTGGAAGTCAGTGGAACCAGGTTCTCCTTCGCTCATCCATTCCGAGGCAAATTTATCCTTGATTAATGCATCAAATATTGTGATTAAACGCCGGCGTTTGTGGCGCTCGCTTACGCCTCGTGGCCGACCGAAGCCAGTGTGGCCAAGTCGCCGCAGAGAGTACGACGTAGGTTGCTTCTTTCCTTCATCCACCCATTCGAAAATAGCGGAGGAGAGTGCACACGACAGTACTCATCCACTCTCGTGCTGTTAACGCGTTCTTCACCGCATTGGTCCAGGATCGTATAAACTCCGGCTTCCACCTCGTCAAGCTCGTCGAAGTCGCGACCTGCGGCCAAGTCTAGCGGGTTTAACAGAGTGATAAGTAGGCCGTATTCGTCAATCTCATGCCACTTATCCGTTGCAAAGTATGTTCCTCTGGTTCTATCATGTCTCATGGTCACTGATGAGCCACTTTCCAGTCTTACACTGACGACGGCGTACCGAAGGAGCCTTGCCCGCATTCTGATTGCTCACATGTCCATCCAAGCGACAGGCGCTGGGAAATAGCTCAGAGTTACGACGAAGATATCGCCGAGAAGATTCGTACGGATAAACGAGCCCACGACGACGCAGTGATGTCCATGCTCGCGCCCGTAGTGCCTCTGGGACAACTGTTTGCTGGTAAGCCTTATAGGCAGATGATATCCCTCGTATCCTTCGACTAACCCGTATACATCAAGATCCTCGAGGGACACAAGAGCCGTCTGAAGTCGTGGCTGCATCATTCGGTACCGATGAGGACCAACCGACGCAATGCCAGACCGGATCGACCCATGATAATGATGGGCATGACGGTTGGCCGGACTCGAAAGACGTTGAGATCGATGAAGAGGATGGTGGATGGGGAACTACACGCGCGCACTCTCAGGGCTGGGGCGTAGCTGACTCCTCTGCAGGAGGCAGTGCGGACACTGCAGGATGGACTGTCGATTCTGCGGTACAAGACGTTGATATGGCAGATTCGTCGGCTACGAATGGCACTGTTTTCGATGGTTGGGGAACCGATACTCACCATCCCAATCACAATTCTGAGACCGGCTTTCCGGAACCGACCGCCGACGCTACTTCCGCTCTTCTGCATATTACTTCAAACACAGCTCGTTCCGTTGAAGAAACTGTGGCTACAGAAACCGAGACATCGTCTGTCCACATGATACTGGACTCGTGCGTACATCAAGTTCCTGAGAAATTCGTATCTTACCATTGACGTAGTTCAACGCATTCGGACGGCGACGACCAAGTACGATCAGGCGTAAGACTGTATCAGACGTTGCAGGCAGACTTTGCTGCCGTGTCGCCTGCGATCCCTCGCGAGCTTCCCATGCTCAACCATGCCAATCGTTGTCTGTTCAATGGCTCAGATGTGTCGACCACTTATGAAGTTAGCGGCTGCCTGTCCATCCCGGATGACGGCTATCTCTCAGAAGCTGTTGAACGGCTCCAGGCCCAGGAGCAGCGAATCAGAGAGAACGAGAAGATCATCC